AATCATCGGGGCGGGGCGGGGCGGGGTGGGGCAGACGAGAAAAGGGTGAGGCGCGGCCCCGCGCACGTTCCAGACGACCCCCCTGTGGCCTCATGTCGCGCAGCGGAACCGGCCCTGAGCAACGCCAGCAGCCGTCAGAGGCGGACGCCGCGGCAGCACCCTTCCGGGCGAGCGGTAATTGCAGCACGGCCAGGACTAGCCCTCCCTTCCTTAGGAAGTTCTTGCTTCCACCCCGAGGTCCACCCCTCACCTCGACCAAGGCCGGCAGGACGAAGAGAGGCGCTGGTGTAGGGGCTGCAGGCCTGTTGGCGCTGGGAAGGTGCAATCCTGGGCCTTCAGCTCCCGAGCAGGACGGGACCAAGAGGGTGCTCCCGAGCTTGAGCTTGCTGGTGGGTGAGACCCAGAGGAGAGGGAAACGGAGAGCTTTGTTGACTGATCTTGACTATCTGCCCCCAGAGCATCAGCATATCCGCTACAACCCGCTGCAGGATGAGTGGGTGCTGGTGTCAGCTCACCGCATGAAGCGGCCCTGGCAGGGGCAAGTGGAGCCCCAGCTTCTGAAGACAGTGCCTCGCCATGACCCCCTCAACCCTCTGTGTCCCGGGGCAACACGGGCAAATGGAGAGGTAAGCCTGTAGAGCCCAGGGGAAGTAGCTCCCCCTTAGGGCTGCCCTTCACCCACAGGGGCAGTGGATCCCCTTCTAGGTCATATCCCACCAAGCCTTTTCGTCCACTGGAGTGGGTCTTCCCTACCCCCACGTAGCCTGTCCAGCCCTGGAAGCCCACCAGATGACTAGGGGTATGGGACAGTGAATGCTTCTAGCCCATCCTTGTCAGTAGGTGAATCCCCACTACGATGGCACCTTCCTGTTTGACAACGACTTCCCAGCTCTGCAGCCTGATGCCCCCTATCCAGGTAACCTGTTTCCAAACACTTTTGTGGAGGAGGGAGGCTAGACCTCTTGGGGGACTTCTGCTTCAGAGTGATACCCCTTTATCTCAGGACCCAGTGATCACCCCCTTTTCCAAGCAGAGGCTGCTAGAGGAGTTTGGTAACTATACGTTTCCCCTCTTACAACCTTCAACCCACAATTTAAGACTGAGCGCTGGGTTTGGGCCCTGCTTCTAGCACAGCCAAGTCCTATCTCTCTGTCATCCCTTCCCCCCTCACTACCTAGTAAGGTCATGTGCTTCCACCCCTGGTCGGATATGACACTGCCACTCATGTCGGTTCCTGAGATCCGGGCTGTCATCGATGCATGGGCTTCGGTCACAGAAGATCTGGGTGCCCAGTACCCTTGGGTGCAGGTCAGTGAAGTCACTGCCTCCCCTGGATGGGCAGGGAGGGGGAGGTTCACCTTTGGTTCTTGGGAGTAGCATTCCTGTTTCCACATGGTGTGGCCGGCAGGGGGGTTGACTTGGTGTCTTTTGGGCTGTTAAAGCTCCCTACTCCTGCCCTATAGATCTTTGAAAACAAAGGAACCATGATGGGCTGTTCCAACCCCCACCCCCACTGCCAGGTATGTGTGTCAGAGGCTCCTATGGGTTTCTTGGCTTAGTCTGAGCAAGCCCTGTTGGCAGGGTAACTGATTAAGGGATGGAGGCTTGGAAGTAAAAGATTTGCCTACTCTTCTCTGCTCTTGCCCCTTGACAGGTGTGGGCCAGCAGTTTCCTGCCAGATATTGCCCAGCGTGAGGAGCGATCTCAGCGGGCCTATTGGAGTCAGCATGGAGAGCCCCTGCTGATGGAGTATGGCCGCCAGGAGCTACTCAGGAAGGTGGGAGAGAGCCAGGCCCAAGGAGTCCCTAGCCTTCTTACCCCCAAAGAGAGAGGTGTGTGAAAAAGGGTAGAAGGAATCTAGCAGAGAGACTTGCTGAGAGGCCCCAGAAATAATCTAAAGGAAAGATAATGGTGGCTTAGACTAGGGTCGTAGTGGTGGAGGTGGTGAGAATCCATCAAATTCTGGGTACATTCTTTTCTTCTGCTTCCCCTGCCTATTTGCTGATCCCTCCACACTCACCTTGATGGCCATCTGTTTGCCCAGGAACGTCTGGTCCTAACCAGTGATCACTGGTTAGTGCTGGTCCCCTTCTGGGCAGTGTGGCCCTTCCAGACATTATTGTTGCCTCGTCGACATGTGCAGAGGCTGCCTGAACTGACCCCCACCGAGCGTGATGGTGAGTCGCTCAACTAGGACCCTGGGGCTAGGCACTGGATGGGAGTGGCTGTGGTAGGGCCAAAATCTAGGCTTCAGGCTAAGAATCATGCTCTGATTCCAGATCTAGCCTCCATCATGAAGAAGCTCTTGACCAAGTACGACAACCTATTTGAGATGTCCTTTCCCTACTCCATGGGCTGGCATGGTGAGGCTTTTTGAGTACCTATATCTGGCTCCTGAAGCCCAGCCCCTGGACTACAACCCCTGGCGGGCCTTGAAACACTGGCCAGGGGAAGTGTCCAGAGAAGGGATGCTGGGACTGAGGGTGAAGCAGCAAACTTCATGAAACTGTGTCTCCCGTGTGATTTCTATGCCTGGGCTCCCCTCTGGCAGGGGATTCTGGGAGATGTAGTTTTCAGGTACTTGGCCTGGTATAGGGGTAGGGGCTAGGCTGAAGAACTAAGAAGGGGCCCTCCCCACCATCTCTGCCTTCTTCCTGTCAGGGGCTCCCACAGGATCAGAGGCCGGGGCCAACTGGGACCACTGGCAGCTGCACGCTCATTACTACCCTCCACTCCTACGCTCTGCCACTGTCCGGAAATTCATGGTTGGCTATGAAATGCTTGCCCAGGCTCAGAGGGACCTCACCCCTGAGCAGGTCAGGACACGGAGAATCCTGGGTCCCCAGGTTCCCTTTTCTCTCCTACTTCCTCAAGGGATCCCAACAATCATGACCCTGAGAATCCCTATAACATCCCAGGCAGTCCTAGGGACTCAGGAGCTGCTCAACTCCTTCATCCTCTGGTAACTCCAGCAATTCTTATCTCCAGCCTCCCAATCCCACAGGCCCTCCCCCCAGTGTCTCCTGGGCACTCAGAACTTCATACCACCATTCTCGGTGGCCTTTACCTTCCATGATTGTCCCCTGTCCCCCATCCAGGCTGCAGAGAGACTAAGGGCACTTCCGGAGGTTCATTACCACCTGGGACAGAAGGACAGGGAGGCAGCAGCCATTGCCTGACCATGCTGACCACAGGGCCTTGAATCCTGCCTGAGGGAACTGGGGCCTGAAGTTTGGGCAGATATAGCATCAACAAAACTATGCTTTTCAAACTTTAATCACATATTCTAACACCAGAGTGTGAACTCTAATCTATAGGGATCTGGGGCTAAAGGCTAATAGCCAGCTCCAGCCACAACTTTTTTTTGCCTATAGATGTGTAAGAACTTGATGCAAAAATTCTGAACAAAATTAAATTCAGTATTTTGTCTGGCCTATAGATTCTCTAACTCATGGTGTAATGACGACATTCCACTTTGGGAAACTTTTAAAATCTTGTGTTCTTGGCTGTGGCTGAGCTTTAGGAAGGCCAGAGCCCCCTTTACCACCACCCCTGGGGTGTCAGCTCACCAAGCCTGGGCTTGAGGGTTTGGTGGGGAGCAGATAAGCAGGATCCTTGTCCCAGTGGTCAGTGGCCAGACCCTGGGCTGCTGGCCAGAACCCTGGCTTTGTGAGTGGCTGCAGCTTGGCTCTGCTCCAGCCCACAGGGGCTGAAGGGCTGGATAGGGAGCGTGTACATGGCTTTGTGTCCTTGGCTTCTCCAGACTCTCACGTGCTGTATGTGCAGGCGGTGCCCTAACAGTTGCACAGGGCAGAAAACAGCTCTGGCAGGGGAAGAGCTGCCAGGGTTAGGAGCCCCAGGGCCTGGAAGGAGGGCATGGTTCTCCGAATGACCCTGGGTCTATCCTCTCTCCTCTGGATCTGTTTCCCTGGCAAGATTATGCAACACTATGGGAACAATAGGCCATGCAACTCAGGAAACCTGATGCCACTGGTGTCCTCCAACTTTTAAGGTGAAGGCAAAGCTTGTGAGTAATGCAGGGGTGGCCAGACGCTTTTTGTCTCTATTCTTTTCCCAGGGGAATTGAGTCTATGGGTGTGGAAATCACACTAAGGCTGGATAGTGACTGAACCTGGCCCAGGAGAACCTTGGCTGCCTGTCTTCCAGTTTAGGATCTTTCTTCCCTGATACCCTTGGGATTACTGCCTTTGTCTGGAAGGAAATCAGACAGACATGGTATATTAGTGTGTTTCTGTTGCTTATAACAAAATACCTGGAACTGCGTAATTTGTGAGAAAACGAAATTTATTGCTTACAGTTTTGGAGACTGGGAAGTCCAAAGTCCAGGGAACACATCTGGTGAGGGTCTTCTTTGGTGGTGGCTTTATAGCAACACAGGGGTCTCACATGGCAGAAAATGGCAGAGCAGAGAGAGATCTAAACTCAGTTGGCTCCTTTTAAAGTCTTCAGACCACCATAAATCTATCAAGTTATTAGTCAATGGNGGCAGTCCTAGGGACTCAGGAGCTGCTCAACTCCTTCATCCTCTGGTAACTCCAGCAATTCTTATCTCCAGCCTCCCAATCCCACAGGCCCTCCCCCCAGTGTCTCCTGGGCACTCAGAACTTCATACCACCATTCTCGGTGGCCTTTACCTTCCATGATTGTCCCCTGTCCCCCATCCAGGCTGCAGAGAGACTAAGGGCACTTCCGGAGGTTCATTACCACCTGGGACAGAAGGACAGGGAGGCAGCAGCCATTGCCTGACCATGCTGACCACAGGGCCTTGAATCCTGCCTGAGGGAACTGGGGCCTGAAGTTTGGGCAGATATAGCATCAACAAAACTATGCTTTTCAAACTTTAATCACATATTCTAACACCAGAGTGTGAACTCTAATCTATAGGGATCTGGGGCTAAAGGCTAATAGCCAGCTCCAGCCACAACTTTTTTTTGCCTATAGATGTGTAAGAACTTGATGCAAAAATTCTGAACAAAATTAAATTCAGTATTTTGTCTGGCCTATAGATTCTCTAACTCATGGTGTAATGACGACATTCCACTTTGGGAAACTTTTAAAATCTTGTGTTCTTGGCTGTGGCTGAGCTTTAGGAAGGCCAGAGCCCCCTTTACCACCACCCCTGGGGTGTCAGCTCACCAAGCCTGGGCTTGAGGGTTTGGTGGGGAGCAGATAAGCAGGATCCTTGTCCCAGTGGTCAGTGGCCAGACCCTGGGCTGCTGGCCAGAACCCTGGCTTTGTGAGTGGCTGCAGCTTGGCTCTGCTCCAGCCCACAGGGGCTGAAGGGCTGGATAGGGAGCGTGTACATGGCTTTGTGTCCTTGGCTTCTCCAGACTCTCACGTGCTGTATGTGCAGGCGGTGCCCTAACAGTTGCACAGGGCAGAAAACAGCTCTGGCAGGGGAAGAGCTGCCAGGGTTAGGAGCCCCAGGGCCTGGAAGGAGGGCATGGTTCTCCGAATGACCCTGGGTCTATCCTCTCTCCTCTGGATCTGTTTCCCTGGCAAGATTATGCAACACTATGGGAACAATAGGCCATGCAACTCAGGAAACCTGATGCCACTGGTGTCCTCCAACTTTTAAGGTGAAGGCAAAGCTTGTGAGTAATGCAGGGGTGGCCAGACGCTTTTTGTCTCTATTCTTTTCCCAGGGGAATTGAGTCTATGGGTGTGGAAATCACACTAAGGCTGGATAGTGACTGAACCTGGCCCAGGAGAACCTTGGCTGCCTGTCTTCCAGTTTAGGATCTTTCTTCCCTGATACCCTTGGGATTACTGCCTTTGTCTGGAAGGAAATCAGACAGACATGGTATATTAGTGTGTTTCTGTTGCTTATAACAAAATACCTGGAACTGCGTAATTTGTGAGAAAACGAAATTTATTGCTTACAGTTTTGGAGACTGGGAAGTCCAAAGTCCAGGGAACACATCTGGTGAGGGTCTTCTTTGGTGGTGGCTTTATAGCAACACAGGGGTCTCACATGGCAGAAAATGGCAGACCAGAGAGAGATCTAAACTTCTCAGTTGGCTCCTTTTAAAGTCTTCAGACCACCATAAATCTATCAAGTTATTAGTCAATGGTCTAAACTCAGTTGGCTCCTTTTAAAGTCTTCAGACCACCATAAATCTATCAAGTTATTAGTCAATGGATCAATCCATTCAGTAGGCATAGTCCTCACAATCTAATCACCTCTTCAAGACCCCACCTTTCGATTACCATAATAGGATTTCTCACCCTCTCTATAGTCACAGTGGGGATCAAGCTTCTAAAACATATAACTTGGTGTGCACAATTCAATCCTTATCACATAGCACACATCTCTTGAGCCCCCAGTGACTGGGGAGTGGATGAGAGCCCTGGGTGAGTGGCTGGTTTCTTAAAGCATACATACACACCCACGCACACACCCCTGAACTTACACCTTTGATTTGGCAGCATTTTGGAGTCAGCTGGGGAGTTTTAAACAATACTGATGCCTAGGTCCAACCTCCAGAGATTTTATTGAATTGCTATGGGTGGGGCTCGGCAATTTTAAAACCACAATACCCGGCAGGGTTTGAGAACCACTACCCTAAACCAGCCCCCCTCCTTCCTTGTCTTATCTGGAGTCAGGGACACCTTCAGGTTCTCCAGTCACCTGCTTGGGACCTGAGTCTTTGTTCCTGGTCAGCTGGGAGGGGGAAGGGCCTGAAAGCTTCCAGTCCTGCTTGTCCCAGGCAGGGCAGGCCTTCAGGCGGGGACCCAGGAATCCAGCTCCAGACTCTGTCCCCGGCAGCCTCCTCAGTCTGGGACGGGACAGGAAGTGTCCGGCGGAGGTGGGGGTGAAGGTGATTGGCAGTCAGAGGCTCCAATGGGCCGGGAGCCCCCCTAATTCACCCCTCTCCTTCCATTGGCGCCTAGGCGGAGCCGCCCCCACTGCGGGGGCCCAGGGCGGGAGGGAGTAGAGGCCAGGGCAGAGGGCGAGGGCGGAGGGCGCTGGCGGCGACGGCCGCGGAAGGTGAGGCCTGGTGGGGCCGGCGGGTGTAGACCACGAAGTCTTGCCAGGAGGAGGCGGGGCAGGGTGGTGTATGATCCGAAGGGCCCGGAGTGACTGACGGACTGTCACCGTGTGTGTGCCTCGATGTCGGTGTGTGACTCCGTGCCCGAATGTCACTTGGAACTTGGTGCAACTGTCAGCTAACGTGACTGCTTGTGTCAGTGTGCATGTAGCTAAGCCTGCATGTGGCTGTGCAATTATGTGTGTATCTGTCAATGCAGTTTTTGGTGAGATCGGATTGTGTGTTTGTGTATGTGAGAGGGACTGTGACCACATCATGGAATGTGTTTTGGGAGGGCTTCTGTGGGACTTAAGACTACCTGCCAGCGTGAGAGAGGGTGGCTGGGTTTGTGTGTGCCAGTGTGTGACTTCAGCAGTAGCACAGCAAGAGACTTGTGGTTATATGTGTGTCCTGTGCCCTAACTTAGACTGTGTGGGAATGTAGCTGTGATCCTATATTGGGGAACCTAATTCAATAGCCAGTGGGACTGACCTTCCTCTTAGTGTCTAGCAGAGACAGACCATCCCCAACACGTGCAGCTTCCCCTCCTTCCTCTGCTCAGGAATCCCCATCACTGCTCCTTATTTTGTTTCCCTGTCTGACTCAGTCTCCCTGTATTTCTTTTTCTCTCCTTGTTACTATCTTCCCAGAGATCTCTCTCTCTCTGTCTCTTCCCAGTTTTGTCTCTGCAGGTATCTCTGTGTATCTGCTTTTTCAGTTCTACCTCTCATGCTCTCTGTCCCTCTCTGTGTCCCTGTGCCTGACTCCCCGGTTTACCCTTGTTTCTTTGGCTACCCGGGGGCTGAAACAGTGATGAGATGCGGACCTGCCACTACATAGAGCTTCCTGGGAGAGGGGGCTTAAACTATGATGAGGAGTTGCTTTTAGGGAGTGCTGTGAGCCCATCCCAGGGGCAGTGCGTGTGTGTGTGTGTGTGTGTCTTTGTGAGTGTATAAAGATGTGTAAATGTGAGGATGTCTGAGTGTATTGGTGTGGCTGCGAGTGACTGTATCTGACTAGGAGTGAGAGTCTGAGGGTAAATGTGGCTCTTGTGTATCTGGCACCAAGGGACCAAAGGCATTTCCTGGTGCTGGGGTCCAAAGAGTAGAGGGGGAAGTGAGAAATGGCTGGAACTTCCAGGGGAGAGGTAACTGGACTCTGTGGCCTCTCCTTATATCCCCCAGCCTGGGCCTCTCTTCCCCTCCAAACACAGCCAGCTGTGCCCTAAGGAAACATTTGCTGGGGAGTGAAAGGATTGGGGGCATGAGTCTGCATCAGATTTTTCCCTTGCTTGTGTCCACGTGTGTTCAGGGGAGTGTCTTTTTGTTAACCTTGCCTTGTGAGTCCAGGCGTGAATGTGGCTGTGTTTGGCTGCATGAAAACACAAGGAATCTCTCACTGACAGAACATGAGCATAAGCAACCCTCCTCTCCCTCTTGCTGGCCCAATCTGTGTCTGTGGCTTCCTTTCCAGACTGGGGGGAGGCCTCTTCCCTTCTCAGGGCCTCGAGTGGGAGGGGAGGAAGGAGCGGGGAGGGGGCCTGGCTAGGGGTGGCTGAGCTCTGGGGCCCAGAGGGGGCGGGGCAGGGAAGGGAAAGAGGGGATGGTTCTGGGGTCCCATAACTGAGTGGAGCAGGCGACGGTGCTGTAGCTGGTGGAAGGAAGTCCTGGAGGCCATGGACAGTCAGCCACTGGGATCACCGAGGTAGGGCGGGGCCAAGCAGGGTAAATGGGGGGCTGGGGTGAGCCAACTAGACACACTTGGACAGACACGTGGAGGCTCCTGCTCTGTTCTACTGCTGAGGGGTCCGTGCCCTTCCTCTTCTGGAGCTCTCACCCAGGGCCCTCTCCCCATCTGCCTCTTCATTTCCCATGGCCATTTCCCACTGCCTTCCTCTTCCTCCTCCCCACAATCCAGAATCCTTCTCTACTAGGACCCCCAAATCCCCATATACACACACTGTTAGCTCCTTCTCTCTGAGTTTTTGAGTTCATGCTGTCCCCAGCCCAGCCCTCACCTCATTGAGCCCCCATTGCCTCCAGTCCTGATCTCTGAGTACCTCTTGGTGCTGTGGCCCCCACGCCAGGCCCCTGTCCCTGCAAGCTCCCAGCTCCTCTCACTCTCCCCTTCTCTCCCCTCCCCGCCACCCTGTCTCCATCTCCATCTGCTGGCTCCTCGCCCACCCCCAGCCTCTGGCAGCAGCCAGGGCATCTGGTTCCGCTTAACTCCGCAGCCCCAGCCCGCCCCCTAGCTTCATCCAGCCTCACAGGCTTGAGACCAACAAGTTTTCAGAGCCAAGCCCCGTTGAGTGGCCGTAGTAGTCAGAACAAGGAGCTGGGCCCAGGCGAGAGGCTTGGCAACCAGAGCAGGGCTAAGTCTCATGGTGGAAGCACAGGGTGGGCAGACCCACGATGACAGCCCCCCACCCTAGGGTGATAAGATCTGCCCCAGGTTAGTCAGAGGCAGTGATTAGCCCTGGGCTAGGTGGGGGTAAACACCAGAATTCTCAACAGCTAGATTGGAGGGGTTAATGGGAGTGGTTGAGCCAGTGCCAGCACTTGGTGCCAGGGGTGGGCGCCAAGGGCAGTGGGGGGAGGGGTGGTTGCTGGCACAGTCTGTTGCCTCTGGCTTTTGTTCTGGGCCCTAAGCCCAGGACTGAGATGGAGGGAGTGGGGGGTGTGTGTGTGTGTCTGTGTGTGCACATGCGTGCACAGCACTGGCCGTATGGTGGGAAAGGGGACCTCAGGTCAGATCCCCCAATGATTTCTGATAGCCTTGCCCCATTTGGTGCTTAAGTTTTCCTACTAGGAAGCCCATTTTGGAGAGGAGATGCCAGGTTTTAGCCTCCCATCTCAGGGGTGGGGTATCCCTGACCCTGCCTCTCTCCCCACAGATGAGCAGCAGCTGCTCAGGGCTGAGCAGGGTCCTCGTGGCCGTGGCTACAGCCCTGGTGTCTGCCTCCTCCCCTTGCCTCCAGGCCTGGGGCCCCCCAGGTGAGAAGAACCCTGCTTTGTGACCCCCAAGTCTGACATATGACTTGCTACCCTCACTGTGGCCCCTTCCCATGCCTAACTTGTGACCTCCCCACCCCTGACACCCAGACTGGGTCCCCTCTTTACCCTTTCCTCTGGCCTCTGTCTGCAGATTATAACATGATGCTTTGACTCAGTGACCCCCACTCAGGGCTTAACAGTCTGCTCCTTACCCAGTTTCTCTCACAAAGTTGGGGGTTGGGGGTAAAGGAAGAGCCTCATCTCAGAAGTGCCCTCCACAGGGGTCCAGTATGGGCAACCTGGCAGGTCCGTGATGCTGTGTTGCCCTGGAGTGACTGCTGGGTAAGTGCTGCTCCCAACTGTTGGTCTGACACTCATGACCCTTTCTTAACCCTACCTGGTCCTCATGTTCCCTCCCATCCTTGCCTCCTTTGTCTGTAATCCTTACCTCTGTATCTGTCTTAACCCTCTAGCCATCCTTTTTTTCTTTTGCCTGCTTGCCAGTATAGGGATCCAAACCCTTGACCTTGGTGTTATTAATGCACAGCCTTAACCATCCTTATTCAATAGAAATTTCAACCAATATATATTGAGCACCTGCCCCATGCCTGGTCATATTCTAGGCTCTGGCATACAGCAGCATACAAGGCAGGCAAAGGCCTGCCCTCACAGAGCTTACATCCTAATGAGGAAGATAGACACTGAGCAAAAAAGAATTTTAACAGGTGGTAATACCTGCAGGACAAAAAATAAAAAGAGATACATGGAAGAGGATAACTGAGTGGTTACTTTTTACTGGTAATCAGGGAAGGTCTCTCTGAGGAGGTGACATTGAAGCTGATTTCTGAAGCTCAGGAAGGAGGCAGCCATGCACATATTAGGGTATAAGCATTCCCGACAGAGGGAACAGCTAGTGCAAATACCTTGAGGTGGGAATGTACTCAATACTCCTGGGGAACAGAAGGAAGACCCATGTGGCTGGAGTGCAGCGGGTGACGGGGAGAGGGAAGAGCTGAAGAAGGAGAGGAAGACAAGGACTAGATCACAAGGGGCTTTGTAAGACAGTGAATGGAATTTGGGTTTTATTTCAAGTGCAATTAGAAGCCAATGGAGAGCTGTGGCATGGTCTGACTTACACTTTAAATCTTCTCTCTGTCCATCACCACCTCATCTCACCTCCAGGACCCCGGTGTTCTGGTTTCGGGACGGGGAGCCAAGGCTGCTCCAGGGACCCGACTCTGGGCTAGGGAACGAACTGGTCCTGGCCCAGGTAGACAGCACTGACGAGGGCACATACACCTGCCGGACCCTGGATGGTGCACTTGTGGGCACGGTGACCCTGCAGCTGGGCTGTGAGTTGTGGAGGGTGACAGTGATGAGACATGGGGCTCCTGAGGGAATCTGGGACCTGAGTAAGTCCTCTGGAGTAGGGAGGACCTGGGGACTGCTCAGTCTCCAGCTGCACGCTCTGCTTCTAGACCCCCCAGCCCGCCCTGTTGTTTCCTGCCGAGCAGCTGACTATGAGAACTTCTCCTGCACTTGGAGTTCCAGCCAGGTCAGCGGTTTACCCACCCGCTACCTCACCTCCTACAGGTGTGTGCATGATTGGGTGTGCGTGACTATACATTTGGGTGTGCTGGCACAATGTGGGCATGAGAGGCAGGGTGGGAGGTTCTGAGGAAAGCCTCAGAGAGGGGAGAGGGCCCTTTTTTCCTTCCTGACCTCAGATGGCCCTCTCTCTACCAGGAAGAAGATGGTGCCAGGAGCTGATGGTCAGAGGTTAGACATTAGGGAGAGGTTGGGGGATCCAGCTGGGTCCCACAGTGGGCATTTCCAAAGCCCAAGACCACATTCTCCCTCCTAGGATGAGTCCATCCACAGGGCCTTGGCCATGTCCCCAGGACCCCCTAGGGACTGCCCGCTGTGTAGTCCATGGGGCAGAGTTCTGGAGCCAGTACCGGATTAATGTGACTGAGGTGAACCCACTGGGTGCCAGCACACGCCTGCTGGATGTAAGCTTGCAGAGCATCTGTGAGTACCCACCCGTAGACATCTCTTCAAATCCCCGCCATGGAGACCCCAAACCAGCTCAGGACCCGCCCCCCCTCCCCCCAGAGTCCACAAACAGTTCCCTTCCAACATAGACTCCATTTCACACACAGATGGCCCTGTGGAGACTAAAAGTGAAAAGGATCAGAGCCCAGGAGGCGGGGTTACCTCAGCACACACTCCAGAGGCTGTGGCTACTGCCCACAAGTCCTTCCTGGCTGCCTGGCCTCACATCTGACTGTCTGCTTCTAGGCCCTGTGCTGAAGGCAGTCATATCTCATGTCCTCCTTGCCAAGAGAAGTCACTGCTGGCCCCTCCTTCCTCTTGATTTGTGCATGGGAGGGGGGCGCTAAAACTCTGGCTGAAATTTGGGTCAATTCATTTTCCTTGGATGGAACACAGAATCTCTCTTTTCTTCAATCAACAAATATTTCAAAACCCCACCCCAGATCTCAGCTTATTTTATAAGGATGACAGACAGGTTCTGAGCCTGATGGATGATCAATCCTAAGATTTCCCCTCCCCTGCCGTAAGCACCTGGCTAAGGCGCCTTTAAGCACACACCTTGGAAAATGGTGGGGAAGGGATGGGTACCTGTGTCCTACCCTGACTTTGTGTCTGGTTGCCCTCAGTGCGTCCTGACCCACCCCAGGGGCTGAGGGTGGAGTCGGTAACCGGTTACCCCCGTCGCCTGCGTGCCAGCTGGACATACCCCGCCTCTTGGCCCCGCCAGCCCCACTTCCTGCTCAAGTTCCGGCTGCAGTACCGCCCAGCACAGCATCCTGCCTGGTCCACGGTGAGACCTGGAGCTGCATCCCAAATTGCTGCTGTGGTCCTGTTTCTGGTTTTGTGATCCTGGGTGTTCTGCATAGCTTCTTAGTGCCGGCAGGTCACTTATGACCTACACCTTCTCCTACAGAATGCTCCCCTCTCGTGAGCCAGGCTTTGTGCTGGGTGCTGGGGTTGCAGCGGGGAATGACAGACTGAGCCTCTGCCCCGTGGGGCTGTTAATATGATTAAGCCCAACTGTGGGAAGACAGCAGTGGCTTTTAAAAAAATAACTTTTCTAGGAAAAGGAGTGCCTTTCACCCTGAGGTACATCTCCATACAAACACTCATATGCCCAGCTGAGTACAGTAGGGAATTCCCACCTGTGCAGATGTCAGATATTGGCTGGCATCAGGTCTGTGGAGTGGCAACATAAGATGATATTATTTATTTAGTGCTGTCTGCCTGCTGGGCACAGTGCTACACACTTACATACATTATCTTGTTTAAGTATATTCAACCCTATCTTACAAATGAAAAAAATGAAGCACAGAGAGACTCAAAGGTGCCTGAACCCAGGCAGTCTGGTGCCACAGCCCCTCTAAGTAATCACTATGTGCTACTGGCTTCCAAACACTAAGCGTAAACTGGACCACATCAGCCACCCAATTGTGAGAGCTAGATGGTTCCACTAGGCAGACAGGAACGGGACTTGGAGGGAGGGATGTTCTTTGTAGACTGGAGCTGGGTAGGCTCTGAGCTTACAACCTGGATAATGTGCCATCTTCACCTCCAGGTAGAGCCAGCTGGATTGGAGGAGGTGATCACCGATGCTGTGGCTGGGCTGCCCCATGCCGTGCGAGTTAGTGCCCGGGACTTTCTGGACGCTGGCACCTGGAGCGCCTGGAGCCCTGAGGCCTGGGGAACTCCGAGCACTGGTGAGAAGCAAAGCCAAACAAAAGAGCAGAGACCCTACCCCAAAGCATCTATCAGCTGGATGGGTTTGCTGAAGGCGGCCTGGTGACACATGCCCCACCCACACAAGCACAGCAATTGCTGTCCTAGGCTTCAGCCTCTGCTGCCTGCAGCCCTGCCCTGGCTTAAGCCCTGCCACTCAGCCTCCACCTCTGCAGTTACAGACTCTACTTCTACATGCTGTGTTCCCAGAAGCTGGCCCTGTCCGCAGGCCCTGGCCCTGGCCCCGTCCCTAGTGCTTGTGGACACTTATCTGGTCTTGCCTTACAGCAGGGCCCCTACTGAAGGACATACCAGCTGGGGGCCAGTTACACAAGCAGCTGGAGGCAGAGCCTCAGGCGGACAGCCCCACTCCTCCAAGGCCCTCCCTCCAGCCAGACCCGCAACCACTTGGTGAGCTTTGGTCAATGGGCAAAGGTTGTGGAAGCCGAAAAACCCCAGAGAGAAGGGGGCACTGAGCTTGGTTAGGCTCACTCTCTCAGTGACATGTGGCCCTCCCCCTCAGATCACAGGGACCCCCTGGAGCAGGTGGCTGTACTGGCATCTTTGGGAATCTTCTCTTTCCTGGGACTGGTGGCTGGGGCCCTGGCACTGGGGCTCTGGTAAGTGACTGCCATTGGTCCCTCTGCCTCTGATTCCCACAGACACTCTGATGCCCATAGACCGCATCCATCCCCACCCCTCATGACTTCCCATTTACTTCCCACTGAACCTGTCTGATTCTGGAAAAAACTTATCCTATCCCCATCCCCCACTCATTATTCTCACTGATTCCTCTCCTGACACTTTACTAATATACCCTTTTGGAGGAAACTGAGATGCCCCACATTGTCAGGGAGACAGCTGCCTTTTTATGCCCCAGG